TATCTGATGTAATAAAGGGCTTATATTTAAATGAATGGTCAGTGGATACATCTTCTGGGAAACTCTTTTGCCTTGCACTGTAGGCTTGTTTTTTATGGATCAGAATCACTTACGTTTAAAGGGACATTATTGCTAATTAGTATCACGAGTGATACCAGCACACCATACAGAACTGGATTCCTGAGTTCTTTTCTGTAACAGGGAGCCAATTAGGTGAGATTCGTCGACCTCTCAATTATTCATCTCCCTCTTTGAGTCTGGTGTAAAAACTATTTCTAGAAATAATGATGGGAGCTGCCAATGCTGAGAGTCCACTCTGCCTCTGCTCTTCCCTGGCTGCAGAGACCTCGTCCTTACCTACCTTGGATTGGGGGTGGGGATTGAGAGGACCGTTTTTTGCTCAGGGGAGCCTTTCCATGGAAGCGGTCAGCAGCAATGCTGACATTTCATGAATTTATTTCAGTGGTGCACTTTCATACCTGTAACTGCATTTCTTGGAGGGCTCATGTAAAAAAGCCCTGCCCCTCTGGCCATTGCCTGTCTCTTTTCCTTACAGTCTCAGAGTCGGAATGAAGGGGCATTTCTCAGGTCCAGTGTCCACATTGTATAATGATAGTGGGGGGATTTGGAGCACTGTTTTTCAAACTATAGGTCATAACATATATATGGGTCATGAAATCAGTTTAGTAGATTACTACCAGCATTTTTAAATGAAATGCAGTAGAACAGAAAATAGGAGGCAGGGTGTATGACATGAAGAGTGGGTAAGTATTGTTTTGTGAAGCTTTTGTGTCAGTTGTCTCTGTGTGTGTGAATGTGTGCACAGGGTTATGATGGTGTAGTGTTTTTTGCTGTTAGGGGAGTGACAGCCTCAGGGCTGGAGGATCTCCAGGGACTGGTGTCATCGTGGGAGGAAACAGCACTCCTCACAGGGCCCGTGCCCGCTAGGCCCTGGTATATTTGAAGAATCGTCCCAAGTTGCACAATATAAAATAATAGTTTTTATGACGTTTCCAAGGCCAGCTTTTTAAAACTCACAAAGGAAGAATGTTTTTGACCTTTTAAATGAATGTTCTGTACACTTTCACTCTTATTCTTGTTGTTAAATTGGCTTAGCATATTTAAGAATAAGTTATTTATACAAGCGATGTTTTTTTTCTTCTCATATCTCACAGTGTAAAAAATATAGGGACCAGTTCACAGACCAGCGGAAACTTATTTATGAAGAGAAACTGGAAGCTAGTGAACTCTTCAAAGACAAGAAGGCTCTATACCCATCCAGGTATTAAGGCTTTGCTTTACTAATGAAAGTCAGTATTCTGAAATCTTCTCAAATATATATGTAGGCTTTTTCTGTTGGAGTTTGATTTCAGTCTTAGATGAACAATTTCTAATTTTGTGGATCATTTTATATCAGCTGGATATGAAAACACATGAACACATTTGAGCAATGGCTTCCATAGTGTCCTTTCATGAAATGAGATTACAGTTGTTGGTTTTACTCCATTGGCATTAGCTTGAATACTTTACTAAATAATCAGAAGTCATTTAAAATAAAAATTGTATAGGCTATGAAGGTAAATTTGCACTGTTAATTCCTGAGTTTTCCATTGTTTTCAAAGACTAGCCAAATTTCTGTTAGCAATATACTCTAATCACCATTTCAGTCTTTCTGCCATAACAAGCTGGGTCAGAAACTCATTTGTAAGGTAAATGAAAGAGTGAGCCAGGTTAGTACTTTTTTTTGAGTGTTGCTTAAGCACTGGTCCATGGTAGCTTTTGGTCTGCCAACTCATTGGGCATGACTTTGGTGGCCTTTACAGCAAGTTCAGTTCCTTTATTGTAGACACCATGTTCTCAGAAAAAGGAGGAACGCTAGTCCCAAGTTTAACAAGTCCTTGGTAAAGACTGCTTATGTAGTATTTTTAAGTTCATCATCATTTGTCCCAGAATTCCTATCCCTTTTTCATCTGGTGTTTATAAAAATAAAGTAGATTGTGCTATTTCAAACTAAATCTATAACAACTTTTAGCTTTTTCCAAAGAATGGCTTGGAAATAAAAGTGTG